TGGTTATGGTGGCAGCAATGATGGAAACTTTGGAAACGAAAGTAGTGGGGGGAACTACAGTGGCAGTGTGGGTTATGGCAATGACAACTTTACTCGCGGCGGTGCCTCCTCGGACAGCCAGGGTGGTTTCTCGAGCGGTCAGTTTGGGGAAGATGACCAGAATGACGACTTTGCCAAAAGAGCATAGGAAGGTGGTCAGTTGAAAAATAACTTCAATTCCTAGATTTATTGAAGAAGATGACATGACCTCTCTTTCACTCCCCTCTTCGTTTCTTAGTTCTGCCATTAGTGTTTCAAGTCTTCATCATTTCGTTATTGTTATTTATGACTACTATGTTTGGTTGGCTCTTTGAATTATGTTTGAGGTTTTGAAAGCTCGAATGTTTTTTGGTCCAATTATTTGGAGGCATTAAGTTTGCAACCTAGTTAAACTCTATAACAATGCATTTGATATGATTTACCTCTTCTGCCATTTGTAAATTAATCAACTCCGCTTTACCTTTCCATCCCTTAATTGGTGCTAGTATACTCCCTCCCTACCAAATTATTTGGCCCCTTTTGAATGTGTAATAGTATCTTATAGTATGTACTCTCTCATTTTCAAATATTTGAAACATAGTACCACAAAACAGGGTTTTGCTAGGGGTACCTAGTTTTTGTACATTGACTATTTATATTATTGAGAACATTTATCAAACAATTAGATTATTTAAAGATACGAGGTTAGTCGTTGAAGACTTTTAAAAAGTCATTCACTCAATTATATGAATTATAATCAGGGTAAAAGCTTATACACTACGAAATGATTTGGTACCCATGATTGAGAATTATGCTTAAAGTTAAAAAATCACTCCCTCCGTCCCAATTTAAATTGTCCGTTTTGACTATTGGGCATATTTAAAGAAAATAAAAAATAGAGTTGATTTTTTGAGATTGACATTACTTTTTAAGATGGGTGATGATGAATGAGAAGATAAGGTGAAAAAGATTGACTTATTTTAAGGGTAGTTTAAGTATTTTATTTTTAAATGTTTACGAAAACAACTAAGAGGCAATTTATTTTAGGAAGGAGGAGAGAATATTTCTATATCAGTGATCGTCCTATCGGCTCACCCTTTTGAAACATTAGTGTAGTTCAATTTAATTTGGTAAAGTGAGCCATAAATTGTCTACGTGTGAAAGTGCTCCACAAATGTCCTCCTCCCCTACAGCTGCAAGATTTCCGAACACACGCCACGTCCTCTCCGTCGCTGCTCCGCACTTTCACCAGTGGAAACCCTCAAAGCGAGAATCCAGTCCATGAATTGAGCTAGGAATCTCCCACCAACAAACCCAGTTGATTCGGAAAGCGTGAAGTTCAAGCTTCAATTCCACAGAAGAGACTAGCGATGGAGGATGGCGGAACTGCTAGCAATGTGGCTGCTGCCATTACCGCTGCTCTCGACTGGAACTCTTCTCCCGATGCCCGCAAAGCTGCCTATGATTACATCGAATCAGTGAGTTATTTATTTGTTTTTTCTTCTGCTTTTCCGCTGGAGTTGGGAATGGTAATTGAAATTTTTGATTTCTTAGTCCGCCCTTGTCAGGCTTGTTGATGAAAGACTGAGATTCTGCAGAATAGTAATCCTTATTTTCGAGCAGACAGTGAAGGAGTGTGCATGCTTTTAGGTTAATTAAGGGTTTTATCACTTTTTACTGCAACGTAATTTAACATTTTGGTAGCAGATCAATTTTTTCCCCAATATGATCTTGGAAATTGGAATAATCGATTGATGTTTTTAGCCAAAGCTTGGAACTTATGAATTATGATTGGGTAAGTTATTGGAATAGAGCTTTGCATGTTTTGGTCACTCTGAAGTTCCCATGTTTGTATAGTTTTAATTTTACAACAACAACAACATTACCCCACAGCCCATTGCGGGGTAACGGGGAGTCAGATGCACGACCACTATGTTTAAAACATAGAGCAACTGTTTCCAGATAACCCATGATGAGAGTCGAAAGTTGCATTAACTAACTGCTACTCCGTGCTTCACTATAGAAAGAAGCGCAGACTAGTTTAAAGAGCCATTTTGCTTCACTATTAAGTTTGTTGGAAGGAAAAGAAGTTGCATTTGTTATGGTTTTTTTTGGGAGGAGAGGGGGTGGGATGAGGTAAGTATCACATTAGTTTAAACTTTTTAGGCCATTGCTCCATGGTGGGCTGATGTTTTGGCTTATTTTATAAAAATTTATATTAACAATGCGATTTAAGTATTTTAAGTATATAATTATCTTTTCTACCTTTACCTTTTAGTGGATTTAAAACTAGTGTTAATCTTAAAGTGTTATTCATTACTTCTAAGATGAATGCTAAGGCTTGCTTTTTTGAGTTGTGGATGAAAACTGGAATGAGTTGAAACTAATAGGGAGAAGTTAGAAAAATGGGAAAGAGCCTGAAGAAACTAGAACGAGTTAGAAAAAATTAAAAAAAATCAAAAGGAACTAAATTAAATTTTATATTTTTAATTTTCTTAATTTTTATTAACATAGTTCATACTCCATCTCTTTTACTCTTTTGTCTTTTTATTTATATTTTTCATGTATTTCATTGTTTTGTCTCAGATCATTTTCCTTATTTTGTGCGACTCACACTCATGTTTACTTTTTCTTACTTTTTTACATCAATATCAAACACACAATTTTACATTTTTTAATTTTCATATCACTAACCTACCTTAAAAAAATTGGACAAAAGAATCAATTTTGTATTAATACTAATAGAAAATAACATCTATAAAAATTGTTATACTACCTCTATCCTAGAGTATTCATCTAGTGTGACTTTTTTGAGTTAAAATGAGATATTATATTTAGTGTATTAATATGTAACAAAAATTTATTTTAATTGATTACTCCGTATTAAATTTTGTCCATTTTGAGTAAAAAAACTCAAGCCGGACACATACTTTGGGATAGATGGAATACATTGTTTTATTTATTTTAATTTATATTATTGTAATTAATAAAAAAATTCATAGAAAAATAAATAATATGATCATTTTTAACATTATATTCTTCTGAAAGTTACACACCATTTTGTTCATTCACATTCAACTAGATTGCAAAACATTATAAGCTACTCCATCACTAAGTTTCTTCATTGTGTGTAGAGTTTGCCCATCTAACAATATTACAGTGGGTTTTGCTCACATTGTTGGCAAATTCAATGAGATTTATATCCCTTTTTTATGAAGGAAAACAAATTTTGTCTTAGGGACAGAGGGCATACTTTTTTATATAAATTTTGTCAATAGTTTAATTGCTTCATTATTTTATTGTCCTTGATAAATAATAATAATAATAATAATTGTAATAATAATAGTATGATAACTGCACGTAAATAATTTTCAATTCCTAGTTGGAAGGAATTAGAAAAGGTTGTAAGAACTAAAAGAAGTTAGAAGAAATCAGTAAGAGTGGAAAAAAGACTGGAAGGAGTTGGAAAAAACTAGAATGAGTTTAAAGAAACTGGAAGAAGTTGATAATAGTTGGAAATTAGGAGTTACATTTCAAATGAAGAGAGCCTAATTAGTGGTTTTTATGTATAAATAAATGTCAACTAAAGTGGCATTCTCAGTTCAGTGTATAAAATTTCACGAAAATGTGTTATAAACTTGTTCATTGATATGTATCAATCATCCTAACTCCAATTTTACCATCTGAACAATTTTCAAGGTCAAAGCAGGCGATGTACGTGTCGTGGCAAGTACATTATTTCTTTTGGCGAGGAAAGACTGGTCTTCCACGATTCGACTGCAAGCGTTTAAGATGCTCCAGGTCTGTTTAGGTTAAATATGCACACGATGTTGTCACTTATTCACTGTGGTTATTTTGGTCTCTTTAGAAAATTACTACTCTGTATATGCCATCATATTCCCAAGTCGTGAGTTTCCTAACATAATTTCCATGAATCAATTCCAAGTGATAATCTAGCTAGATGAGCAGAAAACATGTCTTCCATCCCCATCGGTGATGATTTTTGTGTGATGGATATCACAAAGAAAATATGCAACAGAAGAATGGCAGCTACTATTAAGATTCAAATCCTGAATTTGAAAATTTGGTGCTAACAATGACCTCATAGATAAATCTAGGGAGGTGAGCTGCCATGTCTGAAAAGTGGGTGAATAATTTCTCTTTGATAGTGGTTAGTCATTTAGTCAACTTTTTTTTGGGGGGTTTGAGCTATTCAAAGTAGTTTCACATTGTCTAGTTTTGTTTCAATGGGCATATTAGGTATATTTTTCCAGTACATTTCTATGCACTTACTTGCATCTCTGTTGGAGCGATTTAGCTTACCATCTTTACCTATCCAAGAAAAAAGCTTACACATCCCTTTAATTATCTAGAAAATTGTTCTCAAGTTCATGATACTTCCACCTTCATACATGAATAGAGAATAAAGAAACCATGACATGAGTCTGTATGGCTCTATTGCTCCTTTACATGTATTGCCCTTCCTTTCAATGAACCCTTAACTTTTCATCTTATTCACAGAATCTTGTGCGGTTACGATGGAATGAATTCAACCCCACTGAGCGAAGGAATTTTGCAAATATGTCTGTGGATCTAATGTCAGATATTGCAAATCCTTGTGAAGAGTGGGCCGTGAAAAGCCAAACTGCTGCCCTTGTTGCTGAGGTTGTTTCTCCTCATCCTTTTCTTTTGTTTGTTAGGGTAAGTGATTTTATAGTTCTGGCATCTTTATGTTACCCGAGTACTTCATTACAGATATTAAGGAGGGAAGGCTTAATTTTATGGAGGGAGCTCTTTCCATCACTACTATCTTTTTCAAACAAGGGTCCTATACAAGTAATTTCTATCTTTTCTAGTTTGAAATTCTTTATTTATAATCCGCATTTGCCTGAATTGAGATTCACATAGTGATGCCTTTTTGCTTAATTCCAGGCAGAGTTGGTTTCAATGATGCTAAGGTGGCTTCCAGAAGATATTACTATTCACAATGAAGATTTAGAAGGTGCATTTATCTACTTCGGTTCCTTGTATGCTCTGTTCAGCATCATAGTGAAATGGGGCACACATCTTGCAATGACAAATATCTTGAAGTTTCATTTTTGCATATTAAATTATGATATTTTAACTACATTTTTCCCATACAACAAAAATAATAATTAAAATCCTACAAGTGAGACCTCATAGGGTAGGATGTACACAGACCTTACCTCTACGGGTGAGGGGTGGGGATGTTTCCAACAGACCCTCTGCTCACAATGAAGTGAATGATCAAAAACAAAGTAGGTCAGCAAGATAGTAAACCAATAACATAAAAAAAGCAAGCAACATAATTGTATGTACTACAAATTGATAATCAGATTCCAGTATACACAAAAGAAAAGTTAAAAAAACAAACAAAAATGTCTACATTTCCTTTAAGAAACCTACTAAACATGCGAAAAATGAAATGGAGGGGTAACTACCTCACAAACAAGAGGCACAAAG